CTGGTTGTGCTTGATGGTCTTGTAGTGGCCGCCCTTGGAGAGGCGCGCCACATGGTAGAAATATCCGGCAGTGGCCGCCTTGCGCACATTTATAGTCTCCGGCAGGCAACTGACCATGTCGATCTCGACGCGCTGCATCAGGCCTACCAGCTGCTCCCGGACATCGCGCGCCCGCTTCATTGAGCGGTACTGGATGAAGTTTTCGTAGCACCACTGCGTGCTGTAGTCCGTCTCCGCCCACTGATTGTAGACCTGCAGCAGGCTCAGGTGGTCGCCGTGCATGTGGTTGAAGTTCTTGCGGGCCGTGTCCGCGTGTATGATCTTGTCTTTGGGCCGATAGAAGATGGCACTGTTCACCGACAGCATTGCCGAAATCGTGACCATCTCCTCAGAACATTTGTACCTGTGGAAGAATCTTCACGATAAAGTTTTTGCTTTGGAACAACATTACTTCACTACTCACTTTTCGCTGGCCAGCAACATCTTGCCCATCATGGGATCCACAGGAAATTCGGCCATTCGCCGACCCAGCTTGGTCAGCTCCCCATGATGATTGAGAGCACCCAGAGCATAGAGCTGTTCCAGGGCCAGGACGAGTGTCTCGTGAGGGGGTGGATCCAAAAAGTCAAAGTGTATCAAATCGTTTATGCCCAAGGCCTTGAGCATAAGCACTGCGTTGCCCAGATTGATGCGCTGTATCTCCGGCACCGTGTTGTCCTCCAGCTCATGCTTGTACGCCCATGCCGTGTACAGACGGAAGCACTTGCCCGGCGCGGTGCGCCCAGCTCGACCGGCTCGCTGATTTGCCGATGCCTTCGAAATGGGAACCACCATCAGGGACTCCATGCCGGTGCGCGAATTGAAGTTGTTTTGCTTGGCAAACCCCGGGTCGATCACATAGACAATGTTGTCGATCGTCAGAGAGGTCTCTGCTATGTTGGTGGCCAGGATCACTTTACGGGCATTCGGGGGCGTGGGCTCGAAGATTTTAGCCTGCATGTCGCTTGGAAGGTTGGCATAGACGGGAATGACGATCAGCTCGCGGATTTTCGAGCCCAGACGCTTGACGCGGTCTTGCAAAACCTCCTGGCAGGTCTCGATCTCATCCTGACCCGTCAGAAACACCAATATATCGCCCAAGGGTTGAGTGGCGTGTATCTGCAGCACAGAAACGCAGCAGGCATCAATATAGTCCGCCTCCGGCGCCTTTGTGTAGAATATGTCCACCGGATATCGTCTTCCGGGGATGCGGAAGATCGGCGCATCATCGAAGAAGGCCGAGAACTTGTCCGCGTCAAGGGTGGCGCTCGATATGAGCAGCTTAAGCTCTGGCCGGAAGCGAGCAATGTCCTTGACCAGGCCAAAGAGGATGTCCGTATGCAGAGTGCGCTCGTGGGCCTCGTCAATGATCATCACACTGTATGAGGCCAAGTCGGGCTCCGAGAGAAACTCACGATGCAGCGTACCGTCCGTCATGTACTTTAGGATGGTTCGGTCCGAGGTGCAGTCCTCGAAGCGTATGCTGTAGCCCACCTCGTTGCCCAGCTTGACGCCCATCTCCTCGGCTACGCGAGCCGCCACAGACATGGCAGCCACGCGACGCGGCTGCGTGCAGCCAATCATTTTCTTGTCCTTGGTAAATCCCGCATCGATCAGGTATTGTGGCACCTGGGTGGTCTTGCCCGAACCGGTTTCACCCTCAATGATCAGCACCTGATGCTCCTTAACAGCGGCAATGAGATCCTCTTTGAACGGATACACGGGCAGCGAGCGACGCGTCTCGTCCAGTGTCAGCCGTTTGCGTTCTTTTTCCGTTAACTCCGGCTGGCGGCTGGAGGACTTTTCGCGACTGCCGTCGAGCGTCAGGGCCTGAATGAAATCAATCTGATCGTCCAACAGCAGCTCATACTCCTCCTCGGCCTTGACGTCCTTGGCGCCAAACTGGAAACGGGCTGAGGCCAACTGCTCGGCCTCCCACTTCTTTTGCTCGGGATTGGGCTGCCTCTCGAAGTCGTCCACCTCGACATACTCAGCTGAGAAAGAGAAGAACATCAGGTGTGCATTCGCAGCTTGCAGATTCACTTACAGCGCTCGCCTTTCTTCATGTCCTGCGGCATGTGATAGCGCTGTACGCGCTCTAGCTCCCGCGCCTTCTCATGCTCCTTGGCGATGTTCAGCAGCTGCTTTTTGTACTGGCGCTCCTCCCGCTCGCGCTTGGTCAACCTGGGAAGCGAAAAACGGATCATTAGTGCTAAACGGTTACCCATTGAGCATGAAAAGTCGCTTACACGCTCTCCTCGAAGAGATACTCGTCGTCCAAAATATCCGCCTCCAGCTCGGCCACTTTGTCATCCTTGCGCTTTTCAAGGTACTGGCGTCGCGATTGCAGGCGCAGGTGTGGCACGATCTTGTCCCGATCCTCGTGCTCCAGCTTCAAGCGTTTGGTGGCTTCCTCGATAGCCTTGCGGCCACCGGCGGAGTCTACCACCTTGCGTGTGCGGTCCTCATCCCGCTGCTTCAGACGATTGGCGAACTCATCTCGCTCCTGCAAGTCCTTCAACCTCGATTCCTCCTCGCTGTCCGGCTCCTCAGCACTGCTGCTGCTGCCAGCCGTACGTTTCCTGCTTCTGCTCGACATTTTCCGTAAACAATAAACAATCAATAGGCGCAAAATCGAAACGGTGTGTCAGCACAACAAGGTGAGTCAGCCATGCCATAAATTTGATCGACTTATCGATATAAAATAACGCATCTCTAGGAAGGTTGCAAGGTGAGTTACCTAGAGAGGGAGGTCGAAAAAAGCCATCCAAAATGTCAGGCGGCGTGCTGAGAATGTTTTAAAACCAATTTATTCCAACCAACTATGTCGCGTCAGTTGAGTTTCAATCCCCGTAAGGAATATGAATTGATTGAGTACCCTGGCCGTGTGGTCCATCCGGACCGTATGCTGGGCACCTTGGGCGGCATTGTGAACGTTTCAAAAGTAAGTGGCTGAATCGCTCACAGTTCGATCTGCATTCTCATCTGCTTGTTCCCAGGTATTGGGCGATGAGGTAAAGCGACTGGAACTGCGCTTTCATCCACAGAACCCCTACAATAAGCCCGCCTTTGGAGATTGCACAGACAAGACTGGCGTCCTGCTCTCGGTCACTGTGCGGCGGCATAAGCGGGACAAGCTGCGACCTCCACAGTATTTCGTTCACGTTCTGGGGCACTGCAGCCGCAGCTTCTCCTTTGAATGTGAGTTCTCGCACCGAGATTAACCAGGCAGCTATTAGACAATAACCCCGGACTGTCCTAGCGCTCTGTGACTTTCAGTACTTGCCGCTGTGGGCCACGCCACAGAGTGACAATGGCCTCGCTGCGACGAAGCTCACGTATGCCCTGGAGCAAACGCAGCCGACGGACGTGACCGACCTGGAGTTCTTCAAGTGAGTGCGAGGGTTCAGACGATCAGACCAGAATAACAGCCGCTTCTTGCAGGCGCGGGCAGAGTCAGCTCCTTTGCCTGCCCGAGCTGTTTGCCCGTGTGGACCTTGTCCATACGGGAAACTACCGCATCGACGGGGCGGAGGATGGCCTGCAGGAGGTACTGGGAGTGCTTACAAAGTCAACGTATGACAGCTATGATGTGATCTCATTCAACATGCAGGACACCTTTCCCACCCAGGCAGACGCGCAAATTTTAAAACGCCTCAAGGTGAAGTACGTTTCCGATGAACAATTTGCACGCGTTCAGAAATTATTCGATGAGTGCCCCATATGGACGCGCATAGCTCTACTGTACGAGTCTGGCGTGGGCACCGACAAGCTCAAGTGCATTATACCGTCGCTAGCTTTTTACTTCAGCAACGGACCCTGGCGAACGCTGTACGTGCGCTATGGCTACGATCCGCGCAAGGATTTCAACAGTCGGCACTACCAGACCTTTGACTTTCGCCTGCGCTTTGGCACTGGAGTCTCCGAGTTTGTCTACTCCAGGAAGTCGGCCAAACTGAAAATGACCTCTGCTGCTGCGGCCGAGGAGCCAAAGTGCGATCTTGTCCAGAATATCGACTATCCCTACTTCGACGAGCACAAGTTGCCCCGCTCCAGGCAGTGCATGCTTCGCTACTGCGACGTCCGCATCCAAAAAATTCAGGATATGCTGGAGAAGATTCCCACCCCCCTTACTGGCGCCATTTGCAACGAACGCACCGGGTGGCTCCCTCCCAGCTTCGATGCTCAGGTGAGACAGATTGTCTGTGCCACCATTAGCGACCTGTTGCGCAGCCATTACCGCAAGGAGCACCTAATGGCCGAGGTTGAGGCGGTGCCACAGGCCGATGAGGAGGACGATGGCGAAGATGAGGAGACTCAGGAAGAGGACATGGAGCTTGACGACTCCCAGACAATGAACAGCTCCGAGAACTACGTGGACAAGGACATCGAACAGCTGTTCGATAATATCACGAGCTGATTCGGATCCGGTGGCTGCCTTTTTATATTTATTTAGTAAAGTCAATAAAGTCTTTCTAGAAAGCAGAATACGAAGGCATACATTCTCAAGGCGAAACGATCGTCCAAGCGTCTGGCGTCTTTACTTATATGAAGCATCAAAGAAGGGCAAAATACGCATTAATTAAGTATTATGCATTCCCCTGATCGGATACTTGAAATGCAGGAGGATGATGACGAGCAGGACATTTCTGGGCAAAGACGACATTCAGACGATAAATTTTCAACAATTTTCTTTGATTTAATTATGTTTTCCGGATTGTGAGATGAATGAGAATGAGTTCAAATCAGTATAAAATTACCAAAAAATATGTTTTTCTTTTTTTGCAATTTTGGCTGCTTTTCTATCTCCTAATCGGCTGGGCTCGGAGGCAGACTTTCCGAGGCTTTCGATGGGCTTATCACTATCATTCCCCCTTCTTAATGGATCTCCTCATCTTTGCTACTGATGGATCTCTGCCGATCGACACTAGACAGAGAAAAATCCCATCAACAGCAGAAAATTCTGATCAAGCATAGGCGCGGCCTTTATTTTGAAAATTTCGGATACAGATAGATGGTTAGAGACTATGAATACAGCAGAAGCTGTAAATAGTTGAGTTCAAGGATTTGTTGTCTAAATGCTGACGCAAGATGGATAGCTGGATGCAGATACAGATACAGATAGATGGTTAGAGACTATGAATAGAGCACAAGCTTTAAATAGTTGAGTTCAAGGATTTGCTGTCTAAATGCTGACGCAAGATGGATAGCTGGATGCTTAGGGCTTGCATCTGTCGAGGAAACGGGGATAGAGGCAAACCTCGCGAATGTGGTAGCGGTTGAGCAGCCAGCAGAGGAAGCGTTCCAGACCCAGACCATAGCCGCCATGTGGAAGCGTTCCGTAGATGCGTTGATCGGTGTACCAGTAATAGGGCTTGGGGTCGATGCCCTCGCGCTGATAGCCCTTGAGCAGCTCCTCACTGTCGAAGATCCTCATGGAGCCCCCGACGATTTCGCCTACATTGGGAAGCAGCACGTCTACGCTTTCGGTAAGAGTCTTATCCTCCGGGCAGCGAGACATGTAGAACGATTTGATCTCGGCCGGGAAGCGACACAGCATTATGGGCTCGTTGATGGCATCGGTCATCTTGCGCTCGGGGGCCTCTGGGATGTCCTCGCCAAACTCGTAGAATGTGCCGTCATCCTTGGTCACGTTGTTCTCCTTCAGCCATTTGATGGCATCGGAATAGTTCATGCGTCGGAAGGGCTTCGTTGGCGGCTTAAAGTCGGGGTTCAGCTCCTTCACAAGATTGCCCCATGGGGACTTCAGCACACGGTCGACCACGTCGCAGACGAGGTCCTCCAGGCGATCCAAGAGGTCGTCAAATGTGAGGAAGGGACACTCCGCCTCTATGTGTGTGTACTCGGCCAGATGGCGGCGAGTGCGACTCTGCTCCGCCCGATAACTTTGGGCAATAGTGAAGACATCGCCCAAAGCCGGGAGACAGGTCTCCAGATACAGTTGCGAGCTCTGGGTGAGATAGGCCTCCTCACTGAAGTATTGAAGCTTGAACAGCGTGGAGCCCCCCTCCACCTGGGTCTGCACCAATGTGGGAGGCGTCACCTCATTGTAACCACGTGCCAAATAGTGCGCCCGGAAGGCCTGCATCACCACAGACCGCATCTTGAGCACCTTGGAGGTGTTCTCGCCACGGATCATGATGTGCCGGTTGTCCAGCTGGACATCCGGCTGCGCCTCCTCATTTAGTATAGCGTCGGCGCCACCCGGTGGCGCTAGTCCGATCAGCTCCCAGTAGTCTACATTGAGCTCATGACCGCCGGGTGCGGTCTTGCCCTCTGGGATCAGCTTCAGAGTGCCAAACAGAACAACAGTGCTCTCGGTGCTCAGGGTGAGAGCTTCGTACGTCTGGCAGAGCTGGTCGTTGAGCACGCACTGCAGGAACCCAGTGCCATCCCTCAGCGTGATGAATATCAGGGCCTTTCCCTGACGCCGCAAGCGATGCACCCAGCCATAGACCTTCACTCGAGATCCACGGTTCTCAGTGCCCTCCATGATGCGGATTTTACGTGCCACGGGCCAACTGGGGTCCTCCGAGATCTTAACATTGCGCGCCTCCTCGAGGTTCTGCTGGCGCTTCTCGGCATCCCCAGCCTCACGCTGGTGCTTCTCGGCGTTCTTGTGTCCCTCGCGCACGAACAGCTTCTGGATCTTCTTTAGCTGGGACTTGGCGGCCGGCTCGAAGGACTCGGTGGCGTTCGGGTCCTTGCTATCCACGTAGATTGTTGGGAACGGCTCCTTGCCGGCATGGCGCATCGCCTGCAGGATGCTCTTATAGGGCTTGGCCTCGCTGCCGTCTCCAGACTCGTCGCTGCCGCTCTTCTCAGAAGTGAAGAGGGCGCCTGCACAGGAAGGAGCAGACACATACACACACGGACGTATAAGTATGAATATTGATGCACATTGCAGCGATTGACAACGTGGACGGCAGGCAGGCACATGTGGTTCTTTAACAAACAACAAATATACTTACTTAAGGTTAAGTCAGCCAAATCAGCGGGCATTTTGTTCGACAATGATGACTAATAAGGAGTGTAGTTTTCTGTCGGATCTCGCGAAAAATCTTCTTAAAATCTGCTCAAATTTTCATCAGATCAGATCCACTTATTCGATAGTCGCGTACACCTCGATAACAGAATGGCGATGTTTTTTGTTTTTTTAGCACATTTCGGTGTAAAACCATCGAAGGTTTGAAAGCCTTGCTTAGGTTGCTTATTAGGTTTTTTTTTGGTTTTAAATCATCTCAAGGATGATCGGATTTAGGTTTATTGCATTGGCTTGTCACTTATTTTGTATCCCCTTACCTCAACAAAATTGTGATCAGATATATCGCACAGTTTTACAGCCATCGATGATATCGATAGCTGAGAAAAACATAAACAAATTGGAAAACACAACGCGAAAAATGCCCTCTGAAAACAGGTGAGATTTGCAAATAAACACAGCTATTGCAGGTGTGGTGAGCCAAGCAGTGGATATTGTATGTTCCCCCAACCCATTCCAGCATTAAGGTAATGCCCAAGGCAGTGGTTTGCGAGGAGAGCAACCTCCGCGGTGACATCACCTTCTCCGCTGGCTGCGTTGTACACCCCAGTGCAACGGTCTTCGCAGAGGCTGGGCCCATCATCATTGGGGAGAACTGCATTCTGGAGGAGTACACCACCATCGCCCACCGGCTGCAGGTTGGGGCCAGATGGGATGCCAACAACATCCTCAGTATTGGAACACACAACGTCTTTGAGGTGGGCTGCACGGTGGAGGCGACCCGCATCGGGGATAAGAACGTGTTCGAGAGCAAGTGCTATGTGGGCCCGGGCGTTACCGTGCCAAGCGGCTGCGTGATTGGGGCCGGCATACGGATGCACACGGCCCAGCTGCTGCCGGAAAACACCATCGTGTATGGTCAGCAGGCACTGCAGCGCGAGGCGATCGAGAAGCAGGGCTCCCAGACGCTGCAAATCGACTTCCTCCGCAAGGTCCTGCCTAATTACCATCACCTGCGGAAGCCCAATCACGACCCAAAAAAGGCGCGCAGCGTCGTTTAGAAATCACTTATGTACTTTCTTGTCCCACTCTGGCATTCATAGCATTAAAGTTATCCATCTCCTTCCCAAAGGTGTCTATAGTGTGGTCGCACAGAGCCTCCAGATCCTCGAGGCCGCGCTTGAGAAGGTCTACGGCACGGTCCCGGCGTGACTGTATGCGGAAGTGCAGCTTCTGCTCGGTGGGATGGGGGATAGTGTAGCCGCAGAAGTCCACCTCTGGGTACCGGGCAATAATCGTCTTCAGAGCGTTGCCCAGTGTATGTCCCTCGTTCAGGAACACAAAGGTGCGGGATCCCTCGCCATTCTTCTCGTCGCCTGCAAGCTGCGGTTATCGGATCAGTGGTTATCATATTTTTTTCTTTTTTTGTGCACTAACCTCTGCTAAGGCTCCCATTTTGTTTAGGCTCGTTCTTCTTTGGGTTTGTTTACAATAAAAAACAAAAAACGTGCAAGCCCCATGCGATAGACTGGAGGTGTCAAACCATCGAGGGCACTATCGATAGTATCGATGGCCCATCACTATATACATGCTTTGTAAAAGTTCAAGAACAAGACTTTTGTCCATTGGAGGAAAAAAAATAGATGATCCCTATACCAGGCCAATTTAGCTTGCCTTCTTTATAAATAATTTTTTCTTAGCCCCCTTAAATTTGGCGCGCACCACTCGTATCCAGTCGATAATATAGATGACCGAACTTGAATCGGGTATTGAATCGGTAATAGCCGGTAAGCAACAATGAGCTTTGAATTATGTTTGGATCGACATATGGTGATGATTCGGAACTGCATTTCCCAACCATTGACCAGGTGAACCATTCGGCTGAGCCTCTTTAATAAGGGTGAATATGCCGCAATTATTGGGGAATATTAACACGACATATCCGAACATGCTGTCCGTGGCCCGTTTCAGCAGGTACTTGCCATGTCATGTGGTCAGTATAACGGACTCCGGGACTAGTATTAAAATTGGTATTGATAAGTTAGTTTTAATATGTATTTGACATACACTACTTATAATATATCTATATAACCTTAGTTTATCATGTGGTTTGCCCTTTACCACTTACCCTTTAAATATAGCGGACATTACCGGAACCGGTTTTGTTAACTGAAACGGTTTTGAAACGGAAACGATGCGATTTTTGCTTTCGGCCAATGAAAATCGTCAAAAATGTTTTTCACTACAATGCTGCAGCAACAAGTTTGACGGTTTTTGACGATTTTCATTGCCCATTCTTATGTTAAATGCGCATTCCATGCACAAAGTTGCATGGCAACATTAATTTGTAAACCGTGTTTTAGTCAAAATGCAATTAATGCAAGTAATTAAAAGTAGTTAACCTTGTATAAAATGTATTCATCAATAGGATAAAAGTATGTGGGCAAAGCTGAAAGATCTATATAACTAGTAATATTAGACGGAATATCGAAAGCGAGGAATATGTATAATAGAACTTGAATTCGTCAGTATATTTACGGTATATTTGTTTAATGAGACGGTATATTTTGGTATATTTCTGAGGGTAGGACGGAATATTTTAGCGATAAATTCCCGGTCACACTGCTCTCACGACTAAATCGTGTTTTTTTTGTTTTAAAATACGAATTTGGTGTTAATTTTGCACTGCATTTGACTCTGCTGCTGTTAATTCGTTAATTTGGGCTTGTAATTCGTTTAGTTTTCCGCAGAGCAGCATAATATTTGTGCCAGCAGTGAGCCGGTCTTGTGATTGTATCTCTGTGTTTGTTTGAACGCGCAAAAAGTCTTAAGCAGCAGAAAAGGCGGCAAAAGAGAAGCAAAGAACTAAACCAAACCAGTACCGCTGTTGGCAAGGCGAAGCTGCAGCAAAAAAAAAAAAAACTGCAACGGCAAACATAATTATTTTCGCAACGCGCTGAGCGTGTGTCGGTGTGCAGCTCAAAAACATCGACACTCGGACGCACACCTTGGCGTTTTCGCGCCCAGTTTTGTCTTTTGGCACCGAAGACCAGCCGACGGGAATAAACTGCAATACAGGTTTGTATGAAACAGCAACAAATACAGTGAAATATAGTAATAAAGTGAATAAATACGCTTATTGAACTCCAAAGCTTCGCCAAAGAGTGTCACTTTGATTTTGGCCATGACAGCCACGCCTCCCTCCGGCCACAATCCAAATTATGCAAATTCATGCATTGCACACGCACACACAGACAACATAACAGACACACAGGCAGCTGCCGCTGCCGCTGCCGCTGCGGCGTCGACGGAGACGTCGAAGCCAGCGAAGGCGGAAGCGAACGCCGACAGCAGATTTGGCGTTCTGTTTTGTTGTGTCGTCGTGTACAATTTGATACATTCGGTTAATAAATAATTACAAATAGTTGAAATGTACATTTTTATGTCTTGTTTCATTGGTTGCTAGGCGAGCAGCTCCCTTCCTCCTTGCGGAGAGCGTCATTGACTCTCCCTCACAAACACCCCACACATCTGTTGTTTGTCAGCGAAGCCTGTCTTTCGGTGGTGGTGACTAATGCAAAAGCATGTTCCGTTATCTCATGTGGTCCGTTCCCCTGCGGCGTCCCCTCTCCACACACACACACACTTGTAGTAGTCTCGCTCTGTCGCTCGTTTCATTCAGCTCCATGCGTTCCCCCTAATTTGCGCCAGGCTGCAAAAAGTTGTTGCAATTTGGTCTAGGCTGTGTTCCGCTTCCATTTTGTTTCCCCTATTATGCTGTGCGCCCTTTTTCAGTTGTTTTTACATTGCTGCATGTGTGCACTACATACGTATTTGTATGTATGTATGTTTGCGCCATGCCTACCGGCGTTACATATGTATGTATATGTATGTGTATGTACTTTGGTATATGTATGTATTATGCTGTGAGAGCGGGGCAGCTGCTCCCAGTTCGCTTGCCGCTACTCTCGTCGCTCTATTTTTGCATTTATTTGTCTTTGTTGTTGCAACAAAGGAATTGCATTTGAGCGGATCATCGAAAAAAAAAAACCGGAATGTTTCTGGGAATACGATACAAAGGTTCTCATGTGGCTGGTTAAGAGGGAGGCTTGACTTGACATATCAATATTTTCATATTGCTATATAGCGCCAAGTAACATTTGTAATAAAAGTGATCCCAAATATTCGAATATTTCGATGGATGTCAGCCGTGAAAACTACATGTACAGAAGTAAATATTAATGGCAACGGCAGAAGGCGAATACCAAGGCAGATGCGGACACGCAGACACCACAACGCGCCAGGCCAACATCCTGTGCAGTAGCAGCGGCAGCAGCAGCTCCAAAGAGCACATAAAAGCAGACAAAACCTGGAGAGCTGGATACGGAGAATGAGAGTGAGAATAGGCAGGAGGAGAATGAGAGGCAGAAACCTGTCATCTGGCGGCTGCATTCGATACGGTCGGAGGAGGAGGCAGCGCAGCAGGATGGAGCTGAGAGCATTTTTAGAATTCCCAAAATCAACAAAAAAAAATAAAAGAGTAAACGAACAATGCTGGCCAGACAGACACTCCTCCCTCCCTCTCTCTCTCTCTCTCTCTCTCTCGCTCTCTTTCTGTATGTCTGCCTGTGTGCGTGATCGAATCCCGTCCCAGACGCAGCCGTACTTTATATATACAAATGATGTACATAAATATGTATATATGTATGTGCATTCTTCTGTTGTTTCCTTTTCGCTCTTGTTTCCTTGTTGTTTCTGCTCCCGCTGCACACTTTTCTGGCTTTCGGGCTTCTTTTTGAGCTGCACAATTGGAATGGGAATTGGCAAAACAGGAAGGGACTGAGGACTGCTTTTGGGCCGAAGCTTCTAGTACCCTACCCTGCACAACTATCAGTAAAAATACATCGATATTCCGGTATCCGGTATCCATCAAGCCAAAGTTGGACGACTGGAAAGGAGCATGATATGTTGTTACATTTGAAGTAAAGTCTATTCCAAATATTTTATTCCTACTAAATGAGACTAAACATGAACGTACATATATGGAACGTATATTGTTGATTTCTGTTGTCAGATAACTTCTTTCTTACAAACCTCACATCTCCACAATCGTGTAGTACCCTGTGTAAGGGTATGGACACTTTCGAAGCGATTTTCAATTGAAATTAAAATATTTTTTGTTTGCTTGAAGAGATTTGCATAATACGCTGTGGAACAACCGTAAAATGTGTCCAATGCCGTCTGTTGCCCTCGTCCGTATTCCTCCTGTTGGTGGTGGTTGGTTGGTGTGAGATCTCGGAGGACTGGCCCCGTCCCTTGTCGATGGCGGCACGGCAGCGACGGCAATGTCCTGAGCCAGTCCTTGTCCCCTGTGTGTGTGTCTGTAGTTTCATTTCGTTTTCGTTTCACTTTTTTTGCTCTGTGGCTTCCTACTTTTATTGTTGAACTTTTACAGCTGCCGCTCTTTATCCTTGCATTCGCAGCTCCTGCTACATTCCAGGAAGGGTGGTTGCTGGGGTCTGCCGACGTCTGGCTCACTGCAGTGCCACTAAAAGCTGTATTTCCACCACACTCGCATATCGTGTGCGTCTGACTTTGATCCTTTTTTTGGTCTGTCTGGTCGGGCTCTGAGTCTGCCACCCGCAGGCCCAGGCCCAGGCCCAGGCCCAGGCCCAGGCCCAGACCCAGACCCAGACCCGGGAGCACTAGGGAAAGTGTCTTGCAAATAAATAAATAGTCATGTCAGCCGTATTATTAATGCCTCAGCGGAAGAGAAGGTATCGCAGCACAGCGTAGGGTGGTGGGGGTGGAGCGGGCACCGTTTCCAATCCACCCTCTTAAGGGGTGCGGTGCTGCTGCGTCTTACCCCGAAATATACCAATCCCAATGCACAGCGTACAGCTACGCATATTGCTGTCTGCCTCTTGATTTTGGGGTCAACAAACCTTTGGGCCAGACCCAGCACACGCCCACCAACACCCCCACACCCCTCACCCCCAGCCACAGCCACATCTCCCCCAGCATCAGTTCTGGCTGCCGCCTGGCTGCGTGCGAGTGTGCGAAAACCCCACCGTGCTGCGGACGGGGCACGTTCTACGCATTTTTGTGCATTGACCCCAGGCAGACGGCAACCCTCCTCTCCCCCACAACATACACGCATAGATACACGACACACGCACACACACACAATCATGTATGTAGTATACGAATGTGCGTTTGTATAGTACAATGGCAACCCTAGCTGATTTGATTTCCACAAGAGCCGGTTGGAGGGTGGATTGGATGAGGATTGCCCGGATTTGGATGGGTCTGTACACCTTTATCGGAAGTTTTATGCATTTTTGTTTATTATTTTTTACGTTTATACATATGTATGTACATATATGTGTGTGCATATTTTAAAATATTTTATAAATTACATTGCTGTGGCTGGTGGTGGGTTAGGGGGAAGGGGGAAGGTAGTCGGGGCATCTTCGATTACCACTTTATGACGTCATAAACTCAAGAAGCGACTTTAATTGCACTCCTCCAAGGAGGGAGGGTAAGGCAATGGGTGGGAGTGGGTGTGGAAGCAGGGCTTTTGTTTTAGTGTTTTTGTACCTTTGGGGGGTGGGGGGTTTTGGCATATAAAATGGTTTTATTGCAGTCCCCTCCTCCTTACGTCTGGGTGTGGTTTTTGTTTGTGTACGAGATTGATGAGTTTTAGTTGGATAATTCGGTAGGACAACCGTTTCCACTTCCAGTTCCTGCTCTGTGTTCTTTCTACCTTTTCTCCTTCTGGTCCAGAACATTTTGCTGAACATCATTATTAAAGGTCATTTACTTTTGTTAACCGTTAGGGGTAGTTTTCTCTAGTGTCAGATTCGGTCGAGCCCGTCCCGGTCCCGGTCTCGGTCCCGTCCCGCCCGACATGAGTATGCGAAAATTTAACGCATGCAAATGGAAAGGAAACGGAAAATCGTCCCAAGAAAAGTGTCTTGTAAATGAATCTTTATGGGCCCAGCAAAGAGGGTTGTAAACAGGGGAGGGCAGGCAGGGCACGGTTCGTGAATTCGTGGGAATTTTGTACAAACTTTTGTTTTGAATAGTTTCCTGCTGCACGAGGGAAGGGGGTTTTTGTTTGTTTCGGTTTTGCCCGAACAGGTTGGGCTGTGTTATTAAAATACATATGTACATATGTACATATGTAGATACCATTATCATGATAGCTCTGCAGGGATCGCCAGTTTCTATGAGCCGTGTCTGTGCCGGCGGCACACGCATACTATCGTAGCTCCGAACGAAATCTTCCAGCAGAGATTCGTCTCCTCCAAGCCCCCGTCGCTCTGGGCTTTTGCTCTTCTTGTTCTTGGAATCGAGACCCCAACATGTGTCTTCTGTTTGTTTGCTTTGGTTGTTTCTTTTCCCCTTTTGCTGTACACATGTTTCGGATTCCTTCGTGTCTGTCTCCTCCTTTGCGGCTCACGCGCCATCTCGCTCTGGCCTCCATGTCTGGGCAGCCTTGAATCTGAGTTCTCATATTTTTGTTGTGGATCTTGCTGATGCTGCTCTCGTCATACCCTTGCTGGAGTGGGCATAATAATCTGTACAGATTTTGAATAGCCGAGGTATAGGCGCAAAGGCTTTCATATGTGTTCAACATCAAGTGGTTTTACATAAATGTCATATACATATGTCATAATTAAAAGTAAAAGTAATATTTTAAGCGTGTTTTGTATGACATCTTATTGTTCCTCGCAACCACTGCATTTATTCCTGCCCATCGAGAATGCCCTGTTTTCGCGTATTAAGGGGTAAGGGTATCCACAGACCGACCCCACTAGCCAATCCCTCTCCTCTTGTTCTTGCTTGCTTGCACTTGGCGACGCTCTCCCGCCCCGCCCGCTCCGCTTCTTAAGCTGGGATCTCTCTCTCCTCGAAATGTTCACACGCTGCCTGCGTCTTTGCATTTCCATTTGCTTTTGACTTTGTTTGGCTTTGGTTCTGTTGTTCTCAGGCCAGACGACGGAGCCAGCCGACACGAAGCCAGCTGTTAAAGCAAACGAATCTAGCAATAACGGCGACACGCGCAAGACGGAACAGAGCAAGAACCAGCAACAGCATGTACCAAGTGACATTCAGTGGAAGGTAAGGCAGTCCGATGGACTGGCCCCCCTTTAAGACCCAGCGCAAAAAGATAGGGCATGACCCAAAGAGGGGGACAGTCTGCCTTACCTTCTTATTCGATGTGCCTTGAACGGATCTACTCGAGTCCGCATTGAAACACTGATGTGGAAATATTCAGAGTATTGTAGTGCGCTGGAGCTGAAGTATAGTATATTTTGTATTTGCTGATAAAACAAAGCGAATGCCGTTGTTGGGTGTAGGTGGGGGGAGGGGGGCGGGCTGATGGCCAGGCAGCAGCAGTCAGCCAGTACATACATATATGTATGTATACATATGTACATATATGTATTCCTATCAATTCTTTGGTTTTGTTGCTGGTTTGGTGTTCCTGTTGTTCCTGTTGTTGCTTCCGCTTGTTGTTGCTTCGAAATAGAAATGATTTCACAATTTACTTGGAGCTTCGGCTCTTTCTTTCCTCCCCTCTAACATACCGCCCTGAACCACGAATGTCCCCCCGGGAGGGGACAAACGACGAACAGCAACAAAAACATAAAAAAAAACCAAGAAAGGAAAAAAAACAGAAACACGTTTTTTAGATGCGGCTTTTGCTGATTTCTTATTAGATATATGTATGTATCTCCCCCTCTTTCTCCCTGTTCCTCCGCTTGTCTGCCTGTCCAAAGTCACTTATTATTTATTCTTTCGTGGCTTTGGGCTTATGGTGATTCAGCTCTAAGCGAGAAGTGAGTGCTGTGCTGTGCTCTGTGCTCCCCTCCTCTCCTGTCCGTGTCCGATCCCGTTCCCGTTCCTCCCAGAAGCAAGGTAACGCATTTTGCATTTCGTTTGGTGCTGTTGTTTCTGTGCTATAAAGTGTCAGTATTAAATAATAATATTATTACAGCAGAAAAACGTGCGCAAATGTACCGCTAGATACAGCCCCTGGTAGTCGCAGAGAGAGCTCAAGGTACTGGCCAAACGAGGCTTGCATCGTCTTTATGTATTTACATACGTCGGTGTTCCCATAATCCATTCGCAGGTAGCATCTATCGCCGTTTGAATAAAGTCAGTCTAGAGTGTGTCCAGCGCTGCACCAAAACGGCCGCTGCCTCGTTCGGGAAGTACTGAAAGGGGAAATAAGCTGCGCTTGAATTGAGTGAGCGAGCAAGAGAGTGAGTGACTGATTGATGGCCTACAGCACCAGCAACAACAACAACGGCAGTGAGAGAGCTAGAGAGCTTAAAACTATGTTGGAGCTGCTGCTGGTTCTGGTTCTTCCTCTTGTTCTTTAATGAAGGTCAATGTTCGTGGACGCCAACGCCGCTATCGCCGTTCGCCGCGCCGTGTTCGTTGCTCGCTGCTTGCCTCTCGATGATTGGCAGTTGTTCGGATCTGATTGTTGTGGCTGTTGTTGTTGGAGTTCTCGGGTCGGGTCTTGTGTTGGCGGGTCGCGCTCACGAGGGTCGGGTTCATTTACTCGTGAGTGCAGACAACTCCGAGGAAACCGACCATACCCGTAGAACTGGTTAATGATATTGGAAGTTTCTGCCTGGCCTCCCCACCCCACCCCACCCCACCCCATCCCCCACCCCATTCACCAAACAGACAATCCCCATAATTATGGAATCATATAATTGTTTCCATTTCGGCTTCATAGATCAACCGCCCCCTTCTTGGGTATGGGCCTCTCCCTAATCTGGTGGCAACCTTTAACCTTTGGAGTGCCCCCTTTTAACAGGGGAATTTCTCCCCAAAGTTCTTTGGGGAAATTAAGGGGGAATAACCCACTCAAGTCTTGACTCTCAGGGGAGCAAGCGGTTGCAGGCCCAGTTAAAATAACTTCCAGATCTCATTGGGGAAATAATAAGAATGGCGTGCGAATTGAGAACGCTGGAGAGAAAGAGTTATGCAAACAAGTAACGCCATAGAATGCCCCTTCGACTTGAAGGTAACCGCTAGTTGGATTCATTTATTCGGATAAAGTTGGAATAGAAAATTGGCACATTCCTATTTGAAATATCTACATTTATGTATGTAGCAGGACTGGATAGTCGGTATCTTCGATATTTGTTAAATCACAGCTCCAGCTCTTGGTGCCCTTGTGCTCAAAAAGTACGTTCATATGTACTCTAAAATGATGTACAGAGGGGATTGTACAGAAAATCCCATTCTGGATCGACCCAAAGTGCCATTTCCGTTGAATAAAAAATATAATAATTTGCCGCATCTAATATTAAAATTGTGTGAGAGAAGGAGCGCTGGCTCATTCGGTTCGTTGGCTTAAAGAGTGCCACAGAATACAGACAATTATGAACGTTGACCTTCTGCCAAAATGCTCGTACCACAAAAATTTCCACAGTCACAAAAAGACCAGACCCCGTCGCAAAGGTGAAAGAACGCCACAAGAGGAAGGCAACAAAGACATTAGAAGTGGTTGAGGGGAAATGGGGAACTGGGGAATGAAACGCAGACCTAATGACAGCTGCTTCGTTGGTTGGCGAAAAGTGGCGAGGGGTGAGGGTGGGGGTGGGGGTGGGGGGCACAGAACTCTGAAGCAGAGCGGGGAGAAAGAAAGGTTTTCAGAAGCAAATAAGCAAAGAACGAAAGATAATAATAAAGCAGGCAAAACAAAGCGAATTTGGCCAAGACCAAAAGTCATCACACAGAGACTCCGTAGTCACGGGGTTCAAGTGTACATGCATACATGCATACAATATATGTACATGTGTGTGTTAACGTAGTATAACCTGGCGCTGACTTTGCTTCTTTTTTTTTGAAAGTTGAAATGCCTCCAGTCCAGCCTCTGCCTCTGCTTCTTCTACTGCTACCACAGCCTCTGCCTAGGTAGAGCTAACAAACGAGTTTGAAACAAAAGAACAGACGCTTAGCTAACCCCCCCCCATCCCCCACTCCCGCGCCCGCTCACCGCCAGTCCGCGCGTGTGAAGATCGCGCAACTGTGGGCGAAGGTGAATTGGCAAGAGGAACGAATTGGTAATTGGAACAACTGTGGCATTGAACCATGGAGGAATCGAACATGGAGCATCCCAGGTTCGAAAACTCTACTCGGGAAGAACTCTTCCTTCACTTCCCTCCCTGCAGAAATTACCCAAAAAGTGACAGTTAAAGCCTGGCCATAATTAAAAGCGTTCATCAATTACATGAGTACCGCTTGAGCACACACATACAAACCACACACACACACGAGATCCCACCCTCCTCCACACGACCCAGTGACAAAGCTCTTAAATGCCACTACGTCCACCCTGCTGGGGGCTCCGTCCTTTCCTGTGCTGCATAATTAACATTGGTGTTTTCTGGGAGGAAAAGAGAGGGTACTCAAGGAGAGAATAATACGAGTACTTAAGAGCTTTTTATTTTCACATAGACAATAAATCATTCTGGCAAGGATCACCTCTCCTTGTCTATCCTTCGTACTAGAAATCCACCCAAGATTTGCTGCCTTGACAGCGGAAGAGAGGCTGCGAATACCCTGCTCACCGAATGCACATTTACACTGATTTCGATCTGATTTTGGACTTTTAAAAAACTACAGTTGGTAAAAAACAATTAATTTATTTCCTTCTGGGAGTTCTTGTTTTGTTTTTTGTGAAATGGTTGAGCCCGTTTTTTTGAGTTAACTATTTTTCATCCAAACTATCACATCCTCTGCAGTGGGAGGGCGCACGTGCGTACATACTTACGCTTCTGTCTGGAGAGAAGTAGAGCCTCATGGGCTTGGAATGCCAGGCGGTGGTGGGCAATGGGTGTGAAAGGACGTACCAGTTGGAGGAGGGGTTGGAGGAGCCCATAAAGCATGCGAAACATGTGCCGACGGCATCGATGCGTTCTTGATGTTCTCGTGGCTGTTGTTTTTGAACTTCCGCGACGAGCTTTTGGCATACATACATATGTATTTACATTCATATGTACGTTCGTACGTCTGCCGCCACAGGACATTTATCAAGCGATTTGTTGCAGTTGCTTTTGCCCTTGCTTTCGCTGCCTGAGCAACAAGTTTATTCTTGTCTATTTTTTTTTTGCTAATTCTGCTTCTGGGCTTCTATATTCATGGTTTGCGTCTAAGCAACGCAGCCGCAGTCGCAGCGACGCAGGTCGCCGGTTAGTTGGTTTATTGACATCGTCTCTGCCTCTGCCGCGTCGCTGCTTGCGTCAACGTTGGCTACACACTTTTTTCAAGTTCGTGAATTTTTTAGCCGTTCATTGACTTTTGTGGTTTCTGTTGCTGCTGTTGTTGTCTTTGTTTTTCTAGCGCTGTTAACGTTTTATTTATTGTGTCCAAACTAATGTCATTTATGCGCTGTTTCCCCTGCCGCTCGCCCCTGGCCGGTGTTCTCACCGGTTCGCCTTTGTCCGCTTCCAGCTAAAGCCCTTCCCCCTCGCATCGTTTTCGCAACATTTTGACCAAACTGCGAACTTTCTGAGAACCCGAAAAAACTAAAGGGGAACACAGAAAAAGCAGCAGCAGCAGCAGAAAAACGAATGAAAATGTATCTATTGCCACCGAAGTACAAATACTCTTCAGGGCAGACCTATGCTTGCCTTGTAGTAATAAAAACAAGCACTTTTATCGATCATTTTCGTCGACATGTTATATTTTGTAATAAGATTTACAGCCTCGCTTTTGTTTCCTTCTGATCGCTAAAAACGAAGAAGGGTATATGTATGTGTAGGAAAGCTCGAACTGTGGCCCGCAGAAGTTCGGATTTCAACGGGTTGATTGAAATTTCCTGCTCATGGATGACCGAATCCTGTGCTGCGTAGGGCGGGGAGGGGTTCGGAGGCGTATGATGATCTTCCTCGCTTATTATGTGGCTTATTGCGAATTATGAGGTCAGTGCGGAGCGACTGATTGCCTCAGCCGGGGGGTAGAGCAGTCAAAAGGAGGGGGAAGCGGGAGAAGAGTTCGATAAAGAGCCCTTATTAGCGGTAATGTAAGTGGATATGGTGGGCGTTGAAAGACGAGAACGGTCGGTATTGCCCGACCTCGGACCTGGACCTGGGTCGTCTCTCGGATCTACCAAATTTCGTACATATGCGGGCCACGGGGCTAGAGTTACAATGCCTTATGCCACCAAAAACATACCCCCTCTCTCTCTCTATTCTACCTTGTTCTTTTTCTTCTTCTTCGTTTTATTCGTTTTCTTCTACTTATGTATGTATGTGGTGTTGGTGTGGCTGTTGCCAACCCAAATTGAGCAATTCAACAGCGTAAGAAAAGCTGATGAGGGAATTTGTTGTTCGCTTTTTGTGTGATACTTTCCGTTGCTTATCTGGGAGTGTGAGTCTCCATTACTCCAATGCTCAGAGCTCAAATCGCTCGTGTTCCGGAACTAAAACGTGTAACTAACTGTGTATAGTGCTCTAATGCGCAGATCTGGTAATTATGTAAGGTCTTAGAAATGTTCGAGTTGCCACAGGAGCAGGGCATTACTCATTCGGTCAGACGACTGGACGACTCCTTCCTAGAGAGAAGCTGCACTCTGTGTTCGAGCTCTCTCTTTGTCGTCTCTTAAGTGCATAAGCACACTACACTCTTCCCCACCTGGCCAAGAGCGCGGATAAAGTGAAGGAGCACACGCAACGAGTGAGAAAGCGACAGCTGCTGCTGCTGCTGCTAATTTCCGGTTTCAAGTGTCACATTTTTTTCATAGTCTCTCCCAAAAATTATTGAAAGAGCCATAACAAATACGTGTGGATTGTTGCTGTTGTTGGATGGTTTATGTGTTCGGTTTAGGGTTGGGTTTGCCCTCCGATCATCGTTCGTCCAAGGGAAACATCTGGTGGCAGTGGCAGTGGAGGCGCAGGGGTAGACCGGCGACAGCTGCTAAAAGGGATCGCGCCATCCCCCTTCCCCTCGTGCCGTCTCTTGAATTAGCTTGTTGTGTGGTAGGGAACGTAGACTAGGCCGGGGGAGAGGGTTTATTGGAACGAGTTCGATTGAATTGCCTGTCAATATGGCAATAAAACAGTTGAGGTTGAGGTCGGGCAAATGAATGCTGTGCCGTGCCGTGGCCTACACGAGCATCACCGTGTACCAGATACTCTCCCCTCTCGGTCTCTC